TGCATGCTAAAACCTTTGAGTAGAAGGTTGGGGAACAGGGTATACACAAAGTCTCAAATTATTACTTTACAAATTATTTATTGATTACAAAAGGAAAACTGCAGAGATCTGGAAATTGCAGCCTCCATCTATTACCCAAGTTACCAAACTTGGCATCAGACAACCTTACATAGAGTTTTTCCTGATGAAATGCAGTAAGTACAGATCATTGCCCTCATGGATATCTTGCCAAAAATGTTTTTCCAAAGGGTACTAATGAGGAACTAATGCAATATAACAGATGACTCTGCATTAAGCTTTTAGTACTATTCATTTTTATCTTTCAGATTTTTGAAATTTTAAAACACAAATATGGTGAAAAAATCATTTGCAAGAAAAAAATCCTTTATGAGATTTCTATGTAATACAGAAAATAAAGAGTGGTATGTCTTGAATTAAAATCAATCTCTCCAGAAGTAAATAAGTGTAGCCAAAGTTATGACTAAATTCTACCTGATCCTCCACTGACCCAAAGGCATATCCTCTCTGTGACCTTGATTTTGTCCCAGCAATGAACAATATAGTGCTTTTTCCTGTCTCCACTAGGTCAAGACACAAGAAGCAGCAGAAAGACAAAGAACAGCTGACAAAGCATATCTAACAGGTCCAGAAATAAACTCAAGGTCTGAAACAAACTCTAAACTTTCAAAATTTGGTTTTTCATCTTAAAAAAAAAAGTTTTAAAGTCCCATACAGTTTTTTAATCTGGGGGAGAGGGAATCTGTGGAAATTATATTTGAAAAACAGTATGATCTCATTCTTATCTCCTATTTTTGCCCCTAAAGTGTGCATGTGCTCTCTGAAAGAGACAGAGAGGTCAGTACGTCCCACTGCACCCCCTCAAAAGGTATGGCCACACCACAATCCCTTATCTGTTTTCCCATCCTATTGGGGCTTAAGACATGTGCACGCACATACATGCAGCTGGCATATTTAAATAATATTTAAGGACCTATAATAAAAGCATAGTTTTTTTTTTTTTAAAAAGAGAGAGGTTTTTGCTATAAGGCGCATGTACTCGCCAGAGAGACAAAGAGACAGAAAGCAAGAAATCACCCCTCAAAAGGGATGGCCACACCGCAATCCCTTCTCCAGTATCCTTTCAGGATTTTTGGCACGCGCACACACACACACCTGGCGTGAGTTTCAAGTCACTGGGTCTGGGACCTAAACTATGGTTGACCACATGGGAGTCTAGTGATGTAACCATTATGGCATCTGCTGGTCCCAAAGCATAGGTTCTTAAACATTGATTGTACATGAAAAAACTTGAAGTTCAGTTTTGAAATTATGAGCTAAATAAGTCAAATTAAGTGTCATGGTATTTCTAGTTTTGTTTTATTAAAATAACAAACCAGGGCCGACCTGCTAGTTAAGGGAAGCAGAATCCTGCATGGTTGATCTTGATTTGAATGCTGACCCAGAGGCTTGAAAAATATCCAAGCTACATGTATGTGCATGTCTTAAAACCCAGTAAGATGGAGAAATAGATAAGGATTGTGGTGTGACCATACCTTTTGGGAGGTGGAGTGGGGTGTGCTAACTCTCTCTCTCTCTCAGAGAGTATATGTATACTTTAGGGGGGAAAAAAAAAGGAAATAAGTTAAAATTTGATTTATACTTTTATTTCATGTTTGAAAAAAGCACATTTATCCAACTGCAGATTTCACAAGTAATCTACTCATTCAAATCACCTTCACATTTTTGAATGCCTGCATTCAAAGAAATTACAGAATGCATGAGCACTTGACTATTATTTACCTGTCCTCCTGAAAAAGGGAGAATGCCCAATCTAAGGACAAAATTGATGAAAAGTGATAAGCCTCTTGTTTATATTCTGTACAGAGGTAAGAGTGAAAGAAGTGGGTTCAGTCAAAAAGCCTTCCCATGGTGTGCTAGTGCTGTTATATACTAAACCCCAACACTTCCAACATAGTAAAACCCACCAAAATTCCTTTGTTCTCATACATATTAAAAGGTTTAGGGAACCAGCAGTTAGTGTAAAGGCTATGTCGTAATGGCTATGTCGCTGAACTCCCACGTAGTCGACCGCAGTTGGCATCCTGGACCTGGTGGCTTAAAACTCACACTGGGCGCTTATGTGTGCATTCCCAAGATCCCGAGAGGAGAATGGAGGAGAAGGGATTGCGGCGTGACCATCCCCCCTGGGGGGTGATTTCTCACTTTCTGTCTCTATGTCTGTCTGTCTGGCGAGCGCACGCTGTGCTAACTCTCTCTCTCTCTCAGAGAGTATATGTATACTTTAGGGGGGAAAAAAAAAGGAAATAAGTTAAAATTTGATTTATACTTTTATTTCATGTTTGAAAAAAGCACATTTATCCAACTGCAGATTTCACAAGTAATCTACTCATTCAAATCACCTTCACATTTTTGAATGCCTGCATTCAAAGAAATTACAGAATGCATGAGCACTTGACTATTATTTACCTGTCCTCCTGAAAAAGGGAGAATGCCCAATCTAAGGACAAAATTGATGAAAAGTGATAAGCCTCTTGTTTATATTCTGTACAGAGGTAAGAGTGAAAGAAGTGGGTTCAGTCAAAAAGCCTTCCCATGGTGTGCTAGTGCTGTTATATACTAAACCCCAACACTTCCAACATAGTAAAACCCACCAAAATTCCTTTGTTCTCATACATATTAAAAGGTTTAGGGAACCAGCAGTTAGTGTAAAGGCTATGTCGTAATGGCTATGTCGCTGAACTCCCACGTAGTCGACCGCAGTTGGCATCCTGGACCTGGTGGCTTAAAACTCACACTGGGCGCTTATGTGTGCATTCCCAAGATCCCGAGAGGAGAATGGAGGAGAAGGGATTGCGGCGTGACCATCCCCCCTGGGGGGTGATTTCTCACTTTCTGTCTCTATGTCTGTCTGTCTGGCGAGCGCACGCACCCTATAGCGAAAATCTCTCCAAAAAAAGGTTTAGTATAGATTTAGGTTTCTACAGGCATGCTTCTATCTTGTATTATTTTAGTGTTAATAAATTTTAATTGGCCCAGTCAGGTGGCAGTCTGCAGCACTGGATTGACTGAGTTTGGATCCCCGAGCTGGCATAAATGTCATTCATGAGCACCCAAGATCCTAAGAAGCTGTAGGGCAGAGGAAAGGAGATAAAAGCATGGCTCATCCCTAGGGTGCTTTCTCTCTCTCATGCACACAATCGTAAAAAAAGAAATATTAATCAAGCATACTGACCATGATTAGAAGCTTCTGTCAACCCGTTCCACCCTCTAGGAAAGAGGAAAGGACTGCAGATGGAGTTAATAATCAACCATGCCTATGTGATAAAATCTCTATAAAAAAAGAATCCCTGAACTGTGGGGTTCAGAATTTCTGGGTTGGATAAAATGTGGAAACACCTAAAGATTGGGAATGTTCAGAGGGCATAGACGCTGAGCCCCTTTTCACAAACACTGCTTTATGCATCTCTTCAACTGGGTATTTATCTCTGTCCTTTGTCATACCCTTTATAATACATGGGTAAAGCATTTCGCCCCCGAGTTCTGGGAGCTACTGTAGCAAATTACTAAACCCAAGAAGGGTGCATGGGATCCCAATTTACAGCTGTTTGGGCAAGAGCACAGACCACAAACTGGGATTTAGGAGTGCTGTCTGAGGTGAGGTGGTCTTATGGGATGAAATTATAAGATACCATGTTAGTGTCTACCAAGGTTACATTGCAATAAACCCACTGTAAGTTAAAACATTTTTGTCAAAAATGCATTTAATCCACCTAATCTGCCAAACATCAAAGCTTAGCCTGGCCTATCTTTTTTTTCCTTAAAAATACATAACATTTCACGAATTTGCGTGTCATCCTTACACAGGTGCCATGCTAATCTTCTCGGTATTGTTCCAATTTTAGTATATGTGCTGCCGAAGCGAGCACAACCTGGCCTATCTTAAACATAACAAACACATTAGCCTGGGCAAGATCACCTAACAAAAGGCCAATGAGTGTTGAATATCTCATGCAATATATTGAATACTGTACTGAAAGTAAGAGAATATTATAACTCATACAGCTAGTAAGGGAAGATGCAAATTAAAAATCTGTAGTACAGTTTCTATGCTTTTATACCATAGTATAGTTTAAAAAATCCTAATTCAAATTGTCCTAAGTCCAAGACTGCCACTCCTCATTCACTTCATAGTAACCTCTACTGGTCAAGAAAGGTATCTATTATTCCGAGAACAAGGCAGAAACAAGATCAACTTCCTTAAGTAGTTCAATGAGAGAGAATCTAGCAACATGCAATTAGTGAACCTATGTCTATTATTTTATTATTTAAGTACAAAGTCGGTTGGCGGAATTTAATCTCAAAAACTGAGAGCAAAAGATCTTTTTTTTAAAAAATGCGCCATTTGATTTATCTCAAAGTTTGTTGACCTTGGCACTACTGACGTTTTGAACCAAATGACTCTCAGGTGTAGGGAGCAAACTGAAGGTGCAGAGTTTTAGAATATTCATCAGTAAAGTTTCCTTAAGACACAGGTAACTGTTCCAATGCTAAATTCTGAGTTTTAAAACCATTTCCCTTTCGTGTCTTCAATCTGTTACATGACCATCAATTGACTTCCTATTCACTGTAGATAAGTTTAACTGTTTTCCTGGCTTCTACCCACTAGATGACAGTGGTAGCCCATTCCCAAAGTTCTGACCCCTAAAATGTCTCTAGACATTGCCAAATGTTTCAGTAACTTATCTAATAAAGATATTCTTTTACAAATTGACATTTGGGGGCTGGCAGGTGGCATGGTGGTTAAAGGTGCTAAATTCCCACATGGCTGACCGCAGTCTGAGTCCTTGGACCTGGCAGCTTGCTTTCTCACTTTCCTCTCTGTCTCTGGTCAAATTAAAAACAATAATACTAATAATAAATGTAATTAAATAAACATTTTTAAAATTGATATTCGAAATACTGAAGGATTACCCATTCAATAATATTCCAAAAATCTTTTATTTTTATATACCAGATGCATATAGAATACCTTATAAGAAAGAGCAAGCACAGTGAAAATTAATTTTTAAGTAAATTATTATGGAATTTGGTTATGAATGCACAGTATGTATGAGAATGTTCTAATAACTTTTTTAAACTTATGCATCTTGTAATATATGAATGAAGAACAAAGAAAAGTTTTACTCTGCTTCTTTAACAGTATTGCTGGTAATACATTAAATGTGTATTATATCTGTGAAGCACAAGTTTCATCTATATCTGCTGATTGCTTTATTTTACTTTAAAGAAAAGAACAAGATCAAAATCTCTGAATTTATACTTTTCAACTGAAAGAATCAAAAAGCTGTAATTCTAAAATAGCTTCAATACAGCAAATATTTCTTCTGAATACTAATGGACTATACCGAATCAAGATGAAAGTATACCTATTTTACACTGCACTCAATTTGAAGTGTTGCCAGTGAAATCAATTACAAATATTTATTCCAAAAAATGCTATTATGAAGTCTGCAGACTCAAATGCTGAAAATGATTATTCAAAATTAAATATGTGGCATACCTATAAAATGGGTTGAACTGAAACCTGCACGTAGTTTTATAATATTCATAAGCAGACTTTTTCCCTAAACACAAAGAAGGCTATTGTTTTAATATAAATTAGGAGCTTTAAGATCATCTCCCTTTAGTGCTTTAAACTATCTCACAACTGTGAACAAAAGATCCAGACAATTTCAAATGATGACTGATACTATTTAGGCAAAACTTCTCAGGTGTCAGTACTTTTAATTTTCTGTACATGAAATTACAGTAAGAAGATGACATAAACAACTTGCAGCGCCACTTCCATGCAGGCACACGTGTCACAATAAACCAAGCTTGTACTCCACCATCACATGTGGTTCTCCCATGAGTTCACTCTGTGAAGGGTCTGAAAACAATAAAAAAAACAAGCATTTTAAAAGATTCACATTAAAAAAAAAGAGAGGAAGGCAGGTGGTACGGTGGTTAAGGGCACTGGACTCCCACATGGCCAACTACAGTTCAAGTCCTGGACCTGGTGGCTTGCTTTCTCACTTTCTCTCTCTCTCTCTCTCTCACTCACTCAGTCACTCTGTCCCTCTCTAGTCAAATTAAAATAAATAAATAAATTTAAATGAAATAATTCTTTAAAAAAAAAAAATGAAGTCTGGAAGGAGAAAGACCAACTAAAACAGTAGGTAACTAGAGACTAAGGGAGAGAAATGGAATCAGGGCAATTATACAGAATACTGAGTATCATGTTCCAGATTTTTTTCTTTTGATTTTGTATAGGGCATGTGCACTCATCAGAGAGCAGCAGAGCAGAGAGTGAGACATCATCCCTCGGTGGAGATGACCACACCACAATTCCTTCTTCATTCTCTTCTTGGACTTTTAAGCATGCACACACAATATACCCAGCATGATTTTCAAACTGCTGAGTCTAAGACTCTAACCACAAAGTCCGCCATGTGGGCTCTAGCCACCTCAACCTCCACGTCACTTGTTAGCTCCAATGTTTTAGATTTTTGAACAGGTTATATACTCATTTATGTCACTTCAACTTTCTTTTTTTTTTTTTGAGAAATTTTTGCTATATGGCATGTGCACTTGCTGGAGAGACAGAGAAACAGAAAGTGAGAAATCACTCCACCGGGGGGATTAGCATGCCACAAGCCCTTCTCCTAATTCCTTCTCCTCCATCCTCCTCCTGGGATCTTGGACACACACACACACACACGCCTGGTATGAATTTCAAGCCTCCAGGTCTGGGATTTGAACCGTGGCCGGCATGTGGGAGTCCAGCAACATAATCATTATACGATCTGCTGGTCCCTGTAACTACAACTTTCTTTTAAACTCTGCTTTTTTCAGCTTCTGATTTTTTTTAATAAAGTATGTGATGCATAAATAATTTACATCAAAAGACAGCATACCACATAAGCAAGGCACTGGCCTGTAGACTGTGGTTCAAGTCTCAGTTGAGCTACAAGCTCACCTTGAAACTCCAAGCCTTTTTCTGTAAGACTCAGTTTAATCATGTTAAAGTGAAGGGAATGGAGGACATGATCCTTCCAGCAATAAGAAAAAGTCTAGTTTTGGTAAGTGTCTTTTTCATATTCCTTTCCCCTCCTTGAAAAAAACATCAGAATTTTCTTGGCCAACTACTTCACTGATGAGCAGACACACTATCTTCTCCAGTATTTTCAGTCTTCATAGAGTGTAAAAATAAACAAACTACTCCCTGATTACAGATTCATGAAGCTTATATTTAAGTTCAGAAAGAGGAATAAGTAAGACAAACACCAGCCAAGTGTTATGCAAAGAGTTAATGTAAGGTAAAGTGAAAGAGTGACTGAGGACAATTTCAGATTAGGTAGTCAAGGAAAGCCTATCTGAAGAAGTATTTAAGCTGAGATCAGAAAATGAAGAGAAAAAAAATACTTTTTCTAAAAAAAAAATCATTTAATTTTATTTACTTTATTATTATTTTCTTAAATTTGCTATAGGGCATGTGTGCTCACCAGAGAGAGAAGGTGGAGAGCGAGAGAGAGGGAGGGAGGGGGAGGGTTTGAGTGTGTGCTCACCAGAGAGAGGAGGGGAGGGAGAGAGAGAGGCC